GAGCGGCGCAGCCCCGGGGGAAGGCACAGCTCCTCTGCCACAGCCGAGCTGCTCTCGAAGATGCGTGTGCCTCTGTCCGAATCCTTACGACTGTGCTGGTCCTGTTCCCTCTCACCCACTACAGATCGGCTTCACGACAGACCCGCGGATGGCCCGCTCCTCCCCGTACCCCACCGATGTTGCCCGCGTGGTGAACGCCCCCATCTTCCATGTCAACGCGGACGACCCCGAGGCTGTTGTCTACGTGTGCAATGTGGCAGCAGAGTGGCGCAGCACCTTCCATAAGGACGTGGTGGTGGATTTGGTAAGAAATGTGGTGCGAGGCTTTATCCTAAAGCTGTGGCTCTGCCGTGGGTGCCTGCCGATACCTCTCGGGGTGTCTCTTCTGAAAGCTGAGGTTTTTCTTCAGAGCACACTTGTGGTGTGAGGGGAGGGAGGAGGTGCTGCAAAGCAAGGCAAGGAGGCTGTGATAGCACTCGGAGAGGCAGCGCTGTCTCTGCACGGAGCCTGCGCTCGCCTTTGGCATCGGGGAGGACACACCCAGGTCCCTCCCGAGCTGTTTCAGACCCTTCCTAGCACAGAGACCCAGGTACCTCTGAGCGCTGTTGGACCCACGGGTTGCAAGCAGCTGCTTTCAAAGGCTCTTTCCCATCCTGGCAGGTTTGTTACAGGCGCAATGGTCACAACGAGATGGACGAACCGATGTTCACGCAACCCCTGATGTACAAACAGATCCGGAAACAGAAGCCGGTGCTGCAGAAATACGCAGAGCTGCTGATTTCCCAGGGGGTGGTAAATCAGCCAGAGTACGAGGTACTGTCCCGTGGGGCCTGGGAGGAAAACTGTGGGTGGTATCTCTGCAGAAAACTACTTGTTTGGTTCAGATCTGGGTGTGAGGGATGTGACAGGGCTCGTTTCTGCTTGTGCTCGTCACCTAAAGGTGGCAGAGCTGTGCTAGGGCTGCCAAGCGCTGCAGACCTGGCAGCCACGAGGGGATTAGCAGCTGAGACTCATCCTTGGACTGTGCCAGCTCTGAACAGTGCAGGAACATTTAGTTCAAGGATCTCCCCATGATCAGTGCAGCACAGGCCATGCGGTGCTGGGGCACTGCAGCACGTCTGGGATGCCTGGGAGGGCCGGACTCTGCAGCACTCGGGCTTGCTGCGGTCTGGGAGTATCTGGGGCAGGTCTCTGTCGCCCTGGCAGCAAGCGTGGGGGCCGCTCTGCCGGCTCTTCCTCGCTGTTGTGGTGTTACACCGCTGGCCGCGAGCCAGACACCACACAGCTGCTCGCTCACCCACCCACCTCCTGGGGCTGGGGAGAGAACTAAAGGGGTGAAGGGAAAAGAGGGTTGGGCAGTGAGATAAGAACAGTTTAATAACTACGCTACAATAATACTGGAAATAATAATGATGGTAATAACAGTAATACATACAAATATCCAAATGGGTGACACCCAGTGGCACTGCTCACCACCCCATGGCCAAGGCTCAGACTGTTTCCAGCCAACGATCCTGGAGCAGGAGAGTCCTGAAACTGCAATCCTGGAATGGAGATCAGAGCCCCGAGTGTCTGAGAGCTGATTGAGAGAGGGAAATGGCCCTGGGAGAGGGACCACCTGGAGCGAGATAGCCTGGAAAGAGAGCTGACCTGGAGCAAGAAAGAGAGAACTTCCGGACAGAGCCTCCCCTCTCCCCTGGCCATGCCGGGCATGGGATGGAACAGACCATCGGCCAGTTTGGTCTCAGTCCTAACCCTGAGGTTGAATCCTGGGCTGGTCACTGGGGCTGTGCTCCCTCCCAGCTCCTCCTGCCCCTGCAGACACGGGCACACAGAGAAGCTGGAAAGTCCTTGAGTGTCCTGGCAGCAGCTCTGCCTATCAGTGTGTGATCAGCTTCTGCTGAGCCCAAACCCAACAGCCTCACACCCGCTGCTGGGACAAGAGTTCACTCTGTCCCAGCCCAGACAGGGACACTTGCCCCGGTACCGCTTTACAGCATCTTTAGGGTTGTGTTCAAGGTGTTGGTTGGGACAGCAGCTGAGCTGTGGGGCCCTGGGGCTCCCCGGCTCTGGGGACCAGCTGTGCCCCCCAGCACCCCTGCAAGCTCACACAGAGGTCCCCAGGCTCAGCACCCTTGTTTGGAGACCCCTTGCTAATGCCTTTCTGCCTCCTGGTTCTGTCCTTCAGGAAGAAATTGCCAAGTACGATAAGATCTGTGAGGAGGCCCATGCGAGGTCCAAGGATGAAAAGATCCTGCACATCAAGCACTGGCTGGACTCCCCCTGGCCTGGTAAGTCAGCATTTCGGAGAGCCCTAGCAGATAGCCTGGCTTCTCCTGGGCTGTGGCAGCTATTTTCTATTTTCCTCCCTCCTGGTGCTCTTCCCTCCTGGCATCCCCACCCTTCCTGGAGGGTGTCTGTGACCTGAGCCCTTCCCGCGGAGCTGGGCACAGCTCCCGCAGCCTGGTGGACACACGGCTTCTCCTGCAGGTTTCTTCACTCTGGACGGACAGCCCCGGAGCATGACCTGCCCTTCCACCGGCCTGAACGAAGAGGACTTGACGCACATCGGTCAGGTGGCCAGCTCGGTGCCGGTAGAGGATTTCACTATCCACGGAGGTGGGAGCCTGTGGAAGCTGTGCGAGACTGGGCGCTGGTTCCAGAGATGTGGGGTAGGGCTGGAACGTGGCCTGGAAGGAAGGGACCAGTTTCGGTGCTTCGGTATCCGTGAGCAGCAGGGCGAGGGAGGGGATTCTCCCCCTCTGCTCTATTCTCCTGAGACCCCCTGCAGTGCTGCACCCAGCTCTGGGGTCCTCAGCACAGGACAGACGCGGAGCTGCTGGAGTGGGGCCGGAGGAGCCACGGAGATAAGAGGGCCCGAGGCTGGAGCAGCTCCCGTGCGAGGACAGGCTGAGAGAGCTGGGGGTGTGCAGCCTGGGGAAGAGAAGGCTCCGGGGAGACCTTCCTGAGGCCTTTTGGTGCATAAAGGGGCTCATGAGAAAGATGGGGAGAGACTTCATCAGGGTCTGTAGGGATGGGAGAAGGGATGAGGGTTTTAAACTGAAAGAATTTAGATTGGACATAAGAAGGAAGGTTTTTTGATGCTGTGGGGGGTGAGGCAGTGGCCCAGGCTGCCCAGAGAAGCTGTGGATGCCCCATCCCTGGAGGGGTTCAAGGCCAGGCTGGATGAGGCTTTGGGCAACCTGGGCTAGTGGGAGGTGTCCCTGCCCATGGCAGGGGGTGGGATTGGATGGGCTTTAAGGTCCCTTCCCACCCAAACCGTTCTGTGACTGTGTGAGAATTAGTTCACAAGGGAGCTGTGGTTAAGGGAAGTGAAGCAAGCAGGAGCTCCTCTTCGGAGCTGATCCTTCCCCACACTCAGGATTCCTCATCTCTGCTTCATGCCTCCAGCAGAGGTGGATCCGTTCCTCTGTGCCCGGGTGCGTTCGCAGGCTGTCAGTCTGTGGGACAAACACAGTGTCACTGGAGCTCCCTGCCACGCCGGCTACAAACTGGCTTCTGTCTCCTGGCAGGTTTGAGCCGTATTCTGAAAACCCGCGGGGAGATGGTGAAGAACAGGACGGTGGACTGGGCCCTGGCGGAGTACATGGCGTTCGGCTCCCTGCTCAAGGAGGGCATCCACATCCGCCTGAGCGGCCAGGACGTCGAGAGGGGGACGTTCAGGTAAAGCTGTGCTTTGGGGGGTCGTAAAGGCAATTCCAGCCTTTCCAGAAGGAACCCAAAGGGTGACGATGGAGTAACGGGAGGATGGGAAGGGATTGTCCCCCTCTGCTCCACTCTGCTGACCCCCCGCTGCAGTGCTGCCCCCAGCTCTGGGGTCCTCAGCACAGGACAGACACGGAGC